TAATGTGGCCTGTATGACACTCCCACGCAGTGAGAACCGGACCGTCTTCCACGTATTTTGCTGTGTACCAATGGGTGCGGTGGTAGTCCAGGTGCGGATCTTCGCCATGCCAGCTACCAGCGCCCTCTCCCGTCTTCTTCCGGACACCGAAATCAGGTGGAGGGTGGGGGAGAGTGCGATGGATGCAGCGCAAATCTACTATCCCTATAAATGAATTCACGGGCAGTTAACCGTCCCTGCGCCCACCCTGCCGTGGTGTACACAGTGGACAGCCAACTCTCTGTTGGTGGGGCGTTGGAAGTGCTCTCCCCTGTCGTTGTAGCAACTGTGGCAGCGAAGATGGAGGTGATGGTGTGCATCAGCGTCGGTGGGACGTTGAGACTTTGTTCGCCGTCGTGGTGGTTGAAGTAAGGGGGTGATGGTGGGGGGAGGGGTGTTTGCGAAGGCAGTCCGATCGATTAGTAGCCGTGCACTAGCTGCCAGAGCATTCACATAAAAGTGAACTCAGTTAGATTGCCACAGGACCTTCCTCAGCCTGAATAGCCTTAAGGGGAGCTACAAAACACTCCTCATTGATAAAACCCAGATATGAGCATGGTAAAGGCGGCGAAACATGCAGAACTACCAACTTCGGATTGTTTGGTTTCGAAGTTTACTTAAATGTGACAGGTAAAAGTTATCAGGAAATGTTGATCAGACATGCGCGCAGGCATTGTGTGAGCGGTGGAAAAGGACGCTGTATAGATATGCAATGAAAGTAAGCGGCTGACTAAGAGGTCACGAAATTTTATGAGGCTATTAAATAATCAGATGTGGTTATGTAGCCCCACCTGAGGTAAACAAACACCAGCCACTTGTAACACGGAACCGGTGGTAATAGGGACTTTTACAAGTGGGGCCGGGGAACGCACAGGCGACGAGGTCAAGTAGTTGTATGCAAATGAAAAGCTATTGGGAATGTGTGGTCGTACTTTAAGTGGTTGAGAAATAGTTGTCCTAACTCCTAACCCTAACCGCAACTTCTAACCCCTAACTCTAACGCCTAACCCTAACCCGTAACCCTAACTCCAACAGTACTGTGTCCATCAGGTGGGGTTACATGACCACCTATTAAATTCTATTAAATGTTACCTAGTAAATGCTACAAGTTTTGCCGGCTTTGCCTCTTTTAAATTTATCTCAGGAAAACAACGTTTCGAAATCCAAATAAACGGTTTTTCAACTTTTATCTAGCAGTTGCGGAGTATTTATGCTAATTCTTCGAACAAGCTTTGAGGTTAATAGAGATCTCGCTGAGATTTTACTAGGCACTTATTTCGTCCTAATTTGCAGGTTGCCCATTAGGCAACCAGTCAAGCTCGAATTCATAGCAGAAATTCAGACGGACGGTTCCATCTGCAGCCTTGACCTGATCCCTCCAATGGAAGACCTCACATTTATTGGGGGAACAGCAGACTTGTAGTAGGAGATGTGCCCACCGCGCCTAAGGTGGTTAGACTGCGGTCTGGTAGAGCGAAGATAGAGGTTAGCGCCCTGGGGGTTAATTCGGCCATTTGGCAACCGATTGGGCAGAGGATTTTACGTCATTGTCCTACTATGGCAAGCGGTCGCGACTGCAAAGTAAAATCCTCCGAAGTTAGTAGTGTAGCGGATTTAGCGCCCTCTCGGGCGAATTGGCATTCAATCGAATCTCAGGCCTTTCCAGACTGCGCGGACAGTTATGAACCGAAATTGAAAAAAAAACACGTCCGCCAGCTTCTCCTAGTTGACCTTTTGCTTGATTTCCGCTTATGGGGTTAAGCCGTTTCTTTCCTTCCGATAACGGAGAAATGAAAATGCCACGGAGTGGCAGGCTGCCGGAAGACCAGGCGAAAACGAAAAGGAATTAGGATAACAAGCAGAATGGACGAGCATGCCAAGCTCCGAACCTGGAATTCGTCAGTGCCCTTAAACACTTTGAGTTACCGGTCCCGTAAATTTATGAGGTCATGCGTTCTCGATGATGTTAAACCACACAAACTGGGTTACATAACCTGCGAGAAGCCCACTTATCAACTACGCAGATGAGTCAGCAGGAAGGCCAGCATGTTGCCCCTGACTACTGAGAAAAAATAAGTAGATGTGGCTGATCGATGACGACAAGGGGGTGGCCACATTCGGCATTTTTACCGTCATGAGCCCCTTGCCTGAGACTTGAACAAGAGTCACCTGCTTTCTGACCGTGTCTTGGTGGTTAAAACTTTTACATGACAGAATAGCGACAGTTCGATCGTCAAGAGCGATCAAATCGACCACCCCCCCCCCAAAAAAAAGGTTGCAGCAACAGTGACTTGCGTGTGAATTAGTTTATAGTGAGACAGACTTCCGCACAATCTCTCGTCCGTCTCCCACATTGCTTCGATGACAAAACAGTGTCAGGATAACCGGGTACAGGCGCAGTGGCCGTCAGAACTAGACAGCCCGTAAAACGTGCGCAACATGCGACAGTTCGACCGTAGTTTAGAGCAGGGCCGGTGGTTGGCGCAGCATCTTCCTCCCTCCCCCTCCCCCCCCCCACCTGGACACGGTGTCAGAGCGAGAGGGAGAGGAATTCGCTTTATTTTGAAATCGTATATTCAAAATTTTCAGCAAAAATATTGGCTTCATTCACTATGGGCAATAAATAAGTTAATAGATTATTCAAGAGTCAAAGTTTAACACAAAGAAACGATTATTATGGGGATAGTTCAAGTCTTAGCTTCTGTATTCCTGTCTCTTCGCACGCAAGATAGCGCGCTCGGAATGGCAATACAGAAGCTCGATAAGCCGATGTGCGACAGGATATAAGTCGGAAGCTGCGGCGCATCGGGCGGGAAGACTTCGCAGACATAAGATCAGAATGTAAGGGATGGACAACGTCATCTAGAATCCGACCAGCAAATTGCTTGACCGCATTGAAGTGTCGTTGCAAGATAGTGTCAACTAAAAAAGATAAGAAACACCAGCAGCAGAAGAGAGTATGCGGAGGACTCGTTTCAAAATTAAAAGATCCTTTTTAGCAAAGCAGGAAAAATGACAGGAGAACAGCATAGGATAAGAGGAAGAATGCAGGTATCCATGAGTCGCCAGACTAAGGGTTGATGTGTGTGGTAGAAACGTACACGACGTATGTAGTAAAGACGTTTACGAACTTTAATAAATAGGGACTCAATATGGAGGGAAAATGAAAGATTTGAGGACAAAGTAACGCCGAGGTACCTGAAAGAGGATACTTCGTTAGGAAGAATGTCAGAGGAATCAGGGTTAGGAGAGGGCCGCAGTCGAAAAATGCACTGAACGGATTTTTGGTTGTTAATTAGGAGACCATTTTCCTCCGACAACGCCAGGACATGGTTTAGGCCATTCTTTAGAGACCGGAGGCGTGTCTGACTTTTGAGAGGGTGTTCAACAACCACATCGTCAGCATACTTGACCAGAAGACAGTCATTAGGGGACCTTAGATCGTCAGTATGGAGGGAGAAAAGGTGAGGGGATAGAATAGAACCTTGCAGTTAAGAAGATCAGAGATGGGAGAGGACGGAGGTGGCTGGCACGACAAAAACCCACATCTAGTCGTACCACCACACCCCCTGGTCCACAACGTACACTGAAAAAGATTCTACACCACCAGCACGAAGGGAGGCGGCCCCCAAATCCCAATGGGCGCAGCACGGGCCTGCAACAGAGTGCGAATTTCCGATAACGCTTGCCAGACTCTGGCCTAGACACCGATGTTGTTCCAGCGCATCCAACGCGTAGCCAGTTTTAGGGGCACAGACACACGCACGAGAGAGTTCGACCGTCGATTTTGAAGATGTCCACCGTGTGCCCCACGAAAGAGTCAAGAAGACCGGAGGCGGGAAAGGGCGCAGGTGGATGGCGCGGTTGGGCCCGCATCTTGGCGTTCCACTCCACACTGTCTGGCCTACACAGCAAATGACCAGATTTTTCACCAACAACGACAGAGATTGGTGGTTGGCACGACCGAAGCCGCACCTAGGCGTGCCGCCCACACCCGGCTCGGATTCCACAGAGTGGGAGTGCCATTAGGGTCACATTAAGAAGGAGGCATTGCAGTCTGACTCTCAGACCACCAGCCGGTCACTCCACACAAACACACACAACACTGGGCCAACTGCAAGGTCCAAGTTAGCTCGTCAGTTGGCAACCTTCCAAGCCACGGCTTTTAACATACTGTGACAGCTTCAAGCGCGTCAGATTGTTTATAGTGAGTCGTCGAACTCACTCTCCCTTCCCATTCCCACACCCCAGCCACTGTCCGAGCCGGTCAACGGACTGTAGCGGAAGATGGGCGCGGTGGCTGGCACGGTCGACTGACCATGCCTGCGCGCGCCACATGCACGACCTGACCCCTTAAACACACACTGCAGGATTCCACACAACGGGGGTTGAATGACGTATCTCTCATATGCGCGACAGTGCCGTGGAAGGAGCTGTATCGGCCCGGTCCCCATCCCACCAGTCCGGCTCTCCACACAAGCACACACACACAACTGGACGGGCTGCGTGGACCGAGTTGGGGCATCAGTCGGCAACCTTCCAATCCACGGCGCTTGACGCGTCGGGGAAGCCTCAGGCTCGAATCATCCATGCAACAGGAACAGCACGGAGACCGAGTCGAGACGCACACTTCCCACTTGCGTGGGTGGTGGCAGTTAAGTACTTGCGGTGGGTGATTTTGATGAGCGGTGAGATGGTGGTGAGGGAGGATGTGGTGCGGCCGGCGGTCGTCTACCGCAGGTTTTCATGGATGCGCATGTGACCGAATAGGCCCATGCGGTGCATGAGTGTGCAAGGGCACTGGGGAAAGTGGAGGAGGATGCGGCGGGTGTATGTGGGTGCTTCAGGCACTGGCTCGCTAGTCTCTGTGCGATGGATTCCTAAGTGACCGACCAGGCCGATACGTGAGGTGGATGTGCGTGGACAGTGTGGGCACGAGAGGTCGGTGGCGTCGGTGTCACTTACGGAGGTGGTGGTGGTGGTGGTGGCGGGTGCACGGGTCGGCGGAGTGAGGGAGAAGCTGAGAATGGCAGGTGTGCTGGATGTGGTGGGTGTGTCAGGTCTGCGTCCACTTCCGTTCTCGTGGATACGCATCTGGCCGAATAGGCCCATGCGCTGGCTGAATGTGCGATGGCAGTGTGGACAGTGGAGGCGAATGCAGCGGGTGTAGGTTGGCGCTCCAGGTAATGGTTCGCCGATGTCTGTGCGATGGATTCGCAAGTGAGTGACCAGGCCGATGTGTAAGGTGAAGGAGCGGTCGCAATGAGGACATGTGTAGACCAGGTCCTCACCACTGATGTCGACGGTGGTCGCGTTGGCGTTTGTTGAGGTGCCAGGATTTTATGCAATGTTGGTGTGCGTGGCAGGTGCCACAGAGGCAGACGTTGGAGCAGCGCGGAGGAGGAGGAGGAGGAGGAGGAGGAGGATGCGGATGGACGTGGTGGTTCGGGAGGGCGGTCAGAGTTATTTGACGGCGCAGGAGGCGAGGGAGAGGTGGACGGGGAGACGACGGCTGGGGCAGTCCGAGTGTTGCAGTTGGTCGAAGGGATCAACAAGTCCAAATGGCGCCCGAAATGTCCGCTGACCCCGCGGACGCACACAAATTCACAAGTGGCCAGGTCCCCATCTCCCATGTAATTGACCTTTGTAAGGGTGGGATGGGCCCCACATGCATGAGAATTCCATAAATGTCAATACCGAGGAGCCATTGCAACCCAGTCGTTCTCATATACCCACCATTCATGACTATACCACAACCCTAGAAGGAGTCGGTCGACTGAGCTAGTGTTGTCGTCTGGGCTCACCGTGAAGGTCGTGTTATCCCGTGAGCTGGCAATCCCTCAAGCCACGACATAACAGATCAGCAATCACCGTGCGACCGCCAACGAGGTCCCTAGACTCGGGACGCCGAGGCAAGACAGGGCCGTCCACTCGCTTGGAGCAGTTAGGATCTATCGGCGCATGCCATGACAACCGCGTGACTCCTGAAAATGTGATCGTGCAATTTCAACTGTCCTTTCTGAGAAGGCCGACGTGAAGAGCCACCTGACTCACCAGTAAGGATCCGAGAGACCGCTATGTGCCTTTGTGCAATGTGAGTAGAAGAGATGCACTTTAAGGGGCCTGCGCTCTCACACCTTCGACAACAATAACAAAAACGGCTAAGTCGCAGACGCCAACACTTCATGCACACGAAAAAAGGAGACAAAGGAAATGTGACCGGCAATGAGGCCCTCGATCGGAAGAGTCGCACGAAACGTGCTCCGAACGGCTGAAGATCGCCAGTCCGATGTGAAGACCCACACACAGAAGTTATAGTTTTTTTGAAAGCATAAAAGGTCGGCGAGGAATGAGGGGGGGAGGGGGGTGGAGGAGAGCAGAACGCCAAACTGGCCCAGCAGATTGAAGAAGAAGAATCAAGAAGAATCAAGCACCGGAACACTTTGTCCTGAGCTTTCAGACTCGTGCAGGAGTCCATCGTCCATCAACACCACCGACGATATGGCATTCTCTGCCATACATCAAGGAAGTTTCAGAAGCGACCGACCGCATTGCTGCAGAGCTAGGTGTTGGAATTGCACACCGCCCCAAAGCCACACATGCGCAATAGCGTCATGAAGATCAAAGACCGGCTAAAGCCTGAAGAGCAATCTGGAGTAGTGTATCGCATTCTGTGTCAAAATTGTCCTTGTAACTACACTGAACAGACTGGGCTCATGCTTGGATCGCGCATACACGAACACAAGCTGGCTGTGCAACGAGGCGACGCATTATCACTAGTGGCCGCGCACACCTATGAAATGGGTCACGAGTTTGACTTCGCAGGCACCAAAATAGTCGCCCACGCCGGAAGCAAAACAGGCCGAGAATTGATTGAAGCCTAAGCTTCGGATGACAACTCGGCCGATTGATTTATCCATCTGGCGCCGGCGTACAAAGCCCTGCGTAGTCACCTCCAGTCTCGCGCCGTCGATCGATGATTGGCCTACATGCCTTATAACTATTGCTTGTTCTCTTGCTGCTGCTACCTCTGACGATGGACTCCTGTACGAGTCTGAAAGCTCAGGACAATAAACACAGTGTTCCGGTGCTCGACTCTTCGTCTTCACTTATGCATACACCCGGAACTCGAAATTTCGCCTTCATTTGTGAGTAATCTTTTGAGCACCGTAGCAGCATGTACTACTTGTTGGCCAGACTGGAATGGCAAAAATGGGTTATACCACCACTTCACACTGGCTGCTTCAGGGGGAGGGGGACGTGGAAGTGGACGATACAAAACTGCCAGACTACCCTTAAACCAAATGTCGAAGATGATGATGATGATGATGATGATGATGATGATGATGATGATGATGATGATGATGATGATGATGATGATGATGAAACAGGGGTCATCAATAATTCGGAAATGATGATTGCGAAGTTTTAACCCGCTCCACCCCCCCCCCCATGACAGCTCGGTGACCCGAATGTAGTCGGCTAATCAACAAACACGCGACCGCATGTCAACCGCACTGCTGCCTAACCCCCCCCCTACGGCTCCTTCTCTGATTCTGTTCTTGTTATGAGTTTCAGTATAAGACCTAGATGTCAGACTGACAAAGTTCTCGTATAAACAATAGAGTACTTTTAGCTAGAAGGGTAACCGAAATGGTCACTTCGTGCGCATTTGCCTCTTATCCGAGGCTGGGAAGTCTGGACTCTTCGTTTCTGAAGCAGAAAGCCTTACCAATGAGCCATAGACTCAAGTACTGCCAGCCAATCCGCCCGTATTCGCTGTGAGGTTGTTCTTGCATAATTTGGTTACGAGCATCGTGTCCAAATGTATGACTAGTCCTGGAAGGTTGTTTTTTTACTAATTAAAAAAATATGGTAATTAAGTCTGCAATTCTTTGAGACAGGCTGAATCGAAGATTAGAAGTTGTAAGCTTCCCGCAAGAATGTGCAGGTGAATGAGACTTCCTAGGTCTTTAATGAGATTTAATCATTCACACAGGGTCCTGGAAATGTTCAACTCCACTTTCTTGTAGTCAGAGAACTTGAGCTAACAAACTCCTGTAACTAAGGTAAAAGGAAATACTATTATGAATTATGCTGATCCATTGTTTATTGTTTTACTCGAGAGAGAGATAGAGAGAGAGAGAGAGAGAGAGAGAGAGAGAGAGAGAGAGAGAGAGAGAGAGAGAGAGAGAGAAACGACCCCAGCCACAGAATCCGTATTCACGTTGCATGATTTCAGCAACGGCTATACACGAACCGTACGGAAGATTTTGCTTCGCCTCCTGGTATTCACATCGCGTATGAAGGAGACTATCCCTCGCCCGTTGACATCCAGTAATGAACGTGTTTGAAGAAGAAGAAGAATCGAGCACCGGAACAATTCGTTTATTATCCTGAGCTTTCAGACTCGTACAGGAGTCCATCGTCAGAGGTAGTGGCAGAAACAGGACAAGCGGCAGTTATAAGGCACGTAGACCCAATCATCGACCGACGTCGCACGACTGGAGGTGACTACGAAGGGCTCTGTACGCCGGCGCCAGATCGATAAATCGATTGACCGAGTTCTCATCCGAGGCCCAGGCTTCAATCAATTCTCGGCCTGTTGTGTTTCCGGCGTGGGCGACTATTTTGGTGGCTGCGAAGTCAAACTCGTGACCCATTTCGTAGGTGTGGGCAGCCACTTGTGACAATGCGTCGCCTCGCCGCACAGCCAGCTTATGTTCATGTATGCGCGATCCGAGCATGCGTCCAGTCTGTCCTGTGTAATTACAAGGACAATTTTGACACGGAATGCGATACACTACTCCAGATTGCTCTTCAGGTTTTAACCGGTCTTTGATCTTCATGACCCTGTTGCGCATGGTGGCTTTGGGGTGGTGTGCGATTCCAACCCCTAGCTCCGCAGCAATGCGCTCGGTCGCTTCTGAAACACCCTTGATGTATGGCAGAGCATGCCATATCGTCGGTGGCGTTGATGTTTGAGTTCTCTGGTGGCGACCGCGTAGGCAGCGACTTATGAATGCCCTCGGATAGCCATTTTGCACAAACTGGTCGCGGAGATAACGGGCCTCACGCGCTCTGTCTTCCAGTTTGCTGCAATGAGTTTGGATCCGTTTGAACTGTACGAGTCTGAAAGCTCAGGATAATAAACGAATTGTTCCGGTGCTCGATTCTTCTTCTTCTTCAAATATGTATACACCTGGAACTCGAAATTTCGCCTTCATTCATGAACGTGTTTGCACTGCTGTAACATCAATTTTCCATCCGAATTTATTATCCCTGTTTAAAAGTCAACAGCACTTGCCTACATCTACCCGACATCTACCGATCTCACTGTGCGGTTCTCCCCACTCCCCCCCCCCCTAGTCCTTTTATGCAGGTCCCGAATTCTTGATCCCATTAGGAACCTAGCTGGCCGCTGTGTGTATGCGTCATCATCCCTTATAAACGAAACCTGAACTCTAGCAGTTTGATTATTGATATGTGTGTAAGCTTGATAAGTAATCATTGAGACGAATAGATCGTTCCTCTAACCTCTACGCTGCGCAAAACCAGCGCCCCGGAGGGCTCCACCAATGGGGTGCGTTGAGGTTGTCGCAGCTGCGCACTTGCTACATTAAGTGCGTAATCGGCCCCTTATAGGCGATCGATGGAGAGTTTGGTGTCAACGTTCATCTAAGTGTTCGTCAATAACACGAATGCACTCTATCGATCAGAGGGCAGCGACAACGCAAATTCATAGATTTTGTTTCAAAGAAATTACCCCATCTATCAGATCAGTTACAGAATCAGCCACGCTAGCGAAAAATTCCCACTTCCGCCGCATTACATTCGCAACGATCAAATGCGAACTTCGTGGTTAAAACTTTAGGGTATTTTGCAACCAACCAACGCAAAACAGTGCTTCTTACGCACATTTACAAATAACTCGCTACAGTGACTGTGTAACTGTTACGGCCAGGTACAGGGAGCATTTCTAGAGACCGAGGTTCTTCGCCAAAACAAGCTTTTGCTGTAGGACAAGTTCATATTTAGAACGGGTATCGTGGCAGATACGTGAATCGCCAGCTGAGAATCAGTACCAACAAAACGCAGTTAGTATCGACGGAAAACACTTCTCGACCCTTTGCGTTCTTCAACTAGCCATAGTCAAGCCTAAAACAGGGATGATTTGGGTCCAGCTCATTGTAAATCCAACGGCTCGAATACCAAACTAAGGACCCACTGTCTGTAGGTTGTCATGGGAACCGTTAAAATCTGCCTGAAACTGGTGCTCTCTCTCTCTGTGGCTTGATTGTAGGAGGTAAGTGCAGTTAAAACTTACAAATCCGATGCGCTTTTAGGTTTAAATTTAGTTGGAGCAAAGTAGTAGTTAATGGGTACCGCACTGCAGACCAACCCCAGCCGCATTATTGAAATACGCACCCCTCGGCCCTTCGCCCAGCCAGTCTTCCAGAAAATGTGTGGAGGAAGTTGCTGGACCATGCGATAGCAAAGTGGTTGGATGAGGAATTTAAGCCACGCAGTATCAGTTAACGCCACCTAGCTATCGGATACCTTAAAATTCGCTAACGGTGTGAAAGACTTCCACTTAAATGGAATGGTTAGGTTTTCACTGGGTGTTGCGTCT